TGGTACTTCTACCATTTTATCGGCCATTTCTGCGAGCTTCGCCAGCGTCTCATCGCTGAAGGTTAGAATCGAACGAATATGCGGTGGCATACGCTGAATAAAGAGCATTTTGAGAAGGTTGTCGTTGACATTGACACCAGTGGCGAGCTCTTGCATTTCTTCCAACATGTCGCTAAGATCCGAAGCGCCGAGTAAATGTTCGAAGCGTACCTCTGCTTGAGCCTATCTATCGACCTATCAACTCTTGGACCGGGGATCAACGGCTTTACTGCCCTTCGGAGTGATCAAAGATTGTATGCCTCAGAAAATCCCGACGGCACTGTATTTTAACTTGTATTACTCCATTTACATAGTTGGAGATGCTTAACGTCAAATATTAGACTTAAAATGGTCATTTTATACGATAGATGAGGAGATGAAAGTATAGAGTTGATAGTTCCGTTAGAGTACAGCAGTGTGAAAATTGTATATAGAGAGTCAAGGTCAATTTTGAGGAAGGCACGAATCGGTTTGATCATCTCCTTTTCTGTAGGGTATCTCCCCCGCCACCACTGGCAAAAGAGATGATCGCCGATTTGCTTACGTACCTTCTCTGTGCGGAAACAGCACAGTTTCACACTCAAGTCGCGATCTGACGTAAGCATCTAATTGATAGGTTTGGAAAATTTGCTATTGTACCTTTCGACCAATGACAGCATGATTGATGGTAAGCTCCCATCATGAGTTATGTACTTTACCTAATCACAAAACTTTAACGATTTACATTGTTTATTTATTGATTTGTCTGCACCTAGCGCACGGGGTTGGACGTTAATGTTGACTAGCTCCAAAATTGCACTGCCGTCAATTCTAGCTTGTAAAGTGTCTGCGACGAACGGGGTCGTAGAGGTATCTTTTCTGTTCGGAGAGGCTCCAGATCAATCAGCTGGCAACGACTTTCATAGATGGGCAGACGAATTGGGTCTCTCCAAGGCAGCTTCCGCAGAGCGAACCGAAGAAAACGGCGTTGAACGAACTCAACTCTCTCAACTCTATTATTGTAGTTTGAACTCCAGACCACAGAACAGTATTCCAAAATGGATCGCATCAAGGAACAGTACAGTGACTTCAGACAGTAGATGTCGGAGAAACAAGGTCGACAAGGTGCTGCTTGTACGTAAGTTGAGAATCCAGAATAACACCCACGTACGATTACAGTGCCTATAAGTTCGTAGTCAAATGTGATTGGTTCTTTCTTCCGATCACTGAACACTTGTGGGGTTAACCACCGTTCTGTTAAAATTACACCAGCTGGCAAAGGCTTCGAACTGACGTTGAAGAAAGTGACAGTCATCAATCGAGCGGATTTGCAGGTAGATTTTAAGATCATCTGCATACGATAGTCGTGGGCCTTCGATGACAAAGTTCACGTCATTGAAGTAGAGTAAGAAATTTAAAGGTCCCAGGTGACTTCCGTGTGGTATTCCTGACGTAGCTAGATAGATATCGGACCGGTTGTCACCAATGGAAACCATCAGTTTTCGATCAGTGAGATATGAACGAAACCATCGCAAGAGGTTGCCGCTGACCCCAAGTCTATGCAACTTGGCAATCGCGATGGCATGGTTTAGGTGGTATATATGTCGTATGTTTGAGTCCTATCTACCATGCTTTCCCTAAGATACGCTGTCAAACACAGCAGATTTGTGGAAGTAGAACGACCGGAAGTGAAGCCTTGTTCACCACTTAGATACTGCTTACAATGAGAGAGCAGAGGCTCCATGATGACTTACTCAACATATTTCGAAACTGCACTCAACGACGTAATTCCAACCGGTGGAAACTAACGATTTTAAATTGGGTCACTCCTTGACTAGCCTATTGGTTCCAAGCAAATAGATCAACGTATCCCATTCTTGTCGAAATTCTAGTACAACACTATGTTTGTTTTGATTCGCTATGAAAGTTTGACAGATAAAATGAGGTGTTCATGGAATTTCTTATGTTTCGAGGGGGTGCATCGATTAGCTTGGGACCGAAGAGAGTACCAGAGCTGAGCCAAAAAGTTGAGCACGTTTCTTCGGAACCTTCTAGTCTTAGAGTTACCTCTATGGTAATTCCACGCTAATTATCCACATCGCGTTTGCTGCCCTGTTTGTGGACAGGAAACATATGTGCGAATTTCCAACCAGATGGAAATGTACCACTCGAGATGGACGATCGGAATAGGTGATGCAACATGCAACGGCATCAGCAAGCTGGCGATATGCTTTTTTCAGGAATACGGACAGAACGCCATCGGGTCCTGGATTGACGGACGACTTGAGTTGTGATGCGGCAGTAGAAATCATCTCCAAACCTGGCGATCTTCTCAGAAAACAAGCGGCAGATCTCCTGAGGAGTGGAAGCAACTAGGCCGGATTCTTTGCGCTGCTCATTTACGAAATTCCAGAATGAGTTCGGGTGCGACTTGAGTTTCCTCTAAATGCCTCGTTGATATCGCGAATAGCATCGACGGCTAACTCGCTTGAACTCATAATTGAGCCTAACGTAGTGACGTTTTAGCGAAAGCGAATTATCTTAATGCGGCTCTCTTGGTCGCCTTCAATCTACGTAGTTCACTCGCCTGCCAGGGAGGATGAGAAATTTTACGGTGAACGCTTGTTGGAGCGTGTCTATCAATGACATAAGCCAAGACATGTGAAAATGTTTGCGCAGTGGTTTCAGCGTTATCAGGATCAAGGATGCTCTCTCAATCTATACTAGATAGCACGTTGACGATACTACGGCGATCGGTTTTCCGGAAATCGTATGACACGAACGGGAAAATTCCGTCAAATACCCGATCGTGATTGTCATCAACAGTAGTGACAACCAAGGGAGGGTGATGATGTACTTGTTTTACTAGCGTTGAAGGTGCCGTGGAGATGAATGGAGTGGTGTCCTGAACGCTCACGAAACAGAAGTCCAAGCTACGGTTGTTCTAGTTAACTACGTGGTTTATTTGAGATAGCGTTGCTGTACCATTGCAGTCGAGAAGGCTTACTGATCCTGTGTGAAATACAAAGCGTACAGGTCCTAGGCAGAGAAAGCCGCTATTAGATGGTTTACAGGAAACGACAACTAGATTGAAGTCACCCAGACCGATTATCTCATCAATTGGTGTCGCACTCTCCATTATGGTTAAAACAGACCGGCAATGGGTATCGATAAGTTCGTTGTCACAAACCCGGTCAGATGCAATATACACCACACATAGGTACAAAGTGCGATCCCTCAGTTCTACGGTTACCCAAACTGTTGTTCGGATTTCTGTCACAGCGAAAAACCTCGTATTCGGGTCCGAAAGCGTTCGAGAATCGAGCCAAGTCTCGACAAGAACGATAACATCGTAGCACCGGTCCGATACAGCTAGGTGGTAGTCTTGAACATCAGAATTCATTCCGCCTACGTTTTGGTAGTAGAAAATGACGTCATGTTTACTACGGTTGGTGGTCGCACGAGGTAAGGCGTTTTCCCTGGAAGTCATGGAAACATCAGGCGGCGAATGGACATTAACAATCTTAAGTGGATACTCGCCATAGTGAGTAGTTGGAAGACCCCCTCTCCGAAACGACTATGAAGATCGAAGCCGGCAGATGGCAGGATTGGGGGTTTCCACAAAGCTTTCTAAAGTGCGTGCCGGGTTCCAATTAATAGAATTAGCAGCATTTCAAATTCTCTCGAATTAATTATTTGGGTTCTAGCGTGACCCAGTTCGATGGACCAGCTAGTCGGCGATTTTGAATCAGGTTGTGGTTGGTTAGATTGGTTAGTGCTATTGACTCGATTGAGCTGGTGAAAGGATTTATCGGAACAAGGCACCGCCGCCCGCAACCGGAGTGTCGTAATCGTATTAGGAATTAATGTTGTTTTCCCGGTCGTACTTTCATGCCTCATTTCGTAGTTATTCCCTTCATGTCCGCACCCTGGAGATAGCTAAGTTTGCTCTATTCCTTACCGGGGGAATTTTCGGTCTTCCAATCCAGGGGTATGGACACGTCCCTTGTCCATCCTTCTACTTTTGTTATCGGAGTGCAAAGAGTTATCTGTCAGTTTCAGTATAGATGAAGTGTCCGCACTGATTGGGCCTCAACTGTTCCGAGGATGGGGCAGAGAAATGTGCCGTTTAACATCGATTGTGCTACATTATACTGAATGTCACGTCCCCGGATGCCATAGCTTTGAATGTGAAAAGAAAGAGCAGCAATCAAAAAAGGCATAATTTAATTCGGGGTAACGGCAGGAGGATATGAAGACAGCTATAAAGATTGCCCGGGGTAGTTGAAGTTTTCCTGCAACGTAGCGTTCTATAAGCGCCTGCCTTCAACATATCTAGAGTGTCTGTAGAGACAGTGACGACACATCAAAATTGGAACAATCGATTGTTTGTCAACGACTTGGAAAACGTCATTTCTATCCAGCAGATAGTCTATCAAATGAAGGTGAAGTCATCACTCTGTATACAGGCACTCTTAACGTGGCGTTCTTTTAAAGTTGTTATTTGAGGGGGTTAGAAGGAAAGGGGTGTAAGTGATTTTGATCGATTCTCTTCATCGACTTTCTCTTTCGTTAATAATTCAGCTGCAAACACATTCCTTGATTCGTGTGCCATTCTGGATGCTACATGAGAACCTCCTTTATCAAACTATGTGGCAGAAATAGCGCAAAATCTGTTTTTAAAACTGTGGCTATCAAAAAAGAAAGTCGATGAAGAGAAGCGATCAAAGTCACTTACACCCCTTTCCTTCTAACCCCCTCATTTGAGAGCTTTTTACATAGGTCTGTACCATTTTTTTTTCATTCGTGCATCATCAGGCGAAATTTTCTAACCCGAATAATACCTTAATCGAACCGTAAATTGAAGCCGGTACCGCGGCTGGCTTTCATTACTAAAGTAATCGTGAAGCCACATCGTCATGCATGGTTTATGAAAGTGATCACCGAAAATTAATACCTATGTCTTAATTTCATCATCACAGGTTGCATATCTATTCTACAACCCAACCGACAGCGGAGCGGTGCAACTCAATAGCGAGAATCTGGATATGACTTTAGGTATGTTTCAAAGTACTCCGCGAAAGTAAAATGCACGGTCATTTCGTTTCGCTATCATGGGCAATCAAACCAAATGATAACGCTAAAAGCATTTCCTTTTACGTTTCCTCATATTATCTTTGCTTCTTTTCCAGCATCTAATGAGTTAGTATTTATGAATTTCTACGCCGAGTGGTGTAGATTCAGCAACATTCTGCAGCCAATCTTCGATGAAGCGGCAGATAAGGTAAGTCAGATCTATCCTTATCAACGCACGTAAAGTTCCTGTACTTGTGTATACTTATAATCTAATTCGTTCGATTTGTCAGGTTAAGGAAGCATTCCCCGATGGCGGTCGGGTCGTGATGGGAAAGGTCGATTGCGATCGGGAATCGGCAGTCGCATCTCGGTTTCACATTTCCAAGTACCCGACGCTAAAAATCATCCGAAATGGGCAGCCGACGAAGCGGGAGTACCGAGGTGCGCGAACGGTGGAAGCCTTTACCGAGTTTGTCAAGAAACAGCTGGAGGATCCGATCAAGGAGTTCCATCATCTGAAGGATCTGGAGAAGTTGGACACCAAGAAGCGGGTAGTGGTCGGGTACTTTGATCGACGGGATATGCCGGAGTACAACACCTTCCGACGGGTGGCCACGAATCTGAAGGAGGACTGTGTGTTCCAAGCCGGTTTCGGCGACACCGTCTCCGCCATGCACCCACCAGGTATGAGCGTTTAGTTACCGACTTCTACAAAGTTAGTTGCTTATAAAGATTTTATCTATTTTAACGCTTCCGAATTTGTTAAGGACCCAACGGAAGTAAAGATGATTTACTGGAAAGATCTTTTGAGGATGGATTGTAACTAACCATTGATTGTACTTTTCCAGGACACCCCATCATCGTGTTCCGACCGGATGTGGCCGTTTCCGATGCGAACGACGAAACGTTCCTTGGAAATCTGAACAACTTTGACGAGCTGAACATCTGGGTTCAGGAAAAGTGCGTCCCGCTTGTGCGTGAAATTACCTTCGAAAATGCCGAAGAACTGACGGAGGAAGGGCTACCGTTCCTGATTCTGTTCCACGCCACCGATGATTTCCAATCGATCAAGGACTACAAGACGGTGATCGAGACGCAGTTGCTATCGGAGAAACGTTAGTATCTATTCTACACTGTAGCAAATATTTGGTTATATCGCATCGAAAACCATCCCCGTCAATTGTGTTGAAAAAGTTGTGTAATTGTACATCGATCCGATCCGATGACTCTACAGATAGACTCGAGACTGACAGCAGTAGATGGAAAGAAGGACAAACTGAAAGGCAGCCGAACAATCTTCTCTACCGAGGGAGAACCAGATTGAAAGCACAGAACAGAAGTGGAACTTCTGATCAGAAAGTGGCTCCACTTTTCATTGGAAACAACAAGCGCACCTGGTGGTAGAAGGCATCTTCTGCATGCAGTTAAGATAGGCAGCACGCTATGATAGTGTAAAACATTACCACAAAGCATCGCTTGTTGAGTAGAAAAACGTACCACTTTTTGATTCAGCGATTTGTTTGCACTTCCCCTTCTGTTCTGTGAAGTGACAACTGTTGTCTGCGCCTTGCTTGACCAAGACATTAGATATCCAAAGACCATGAAAACATAACCGCTTATCGACTTCCTATCGATGGAGTCCTATGCTCAATCGGCGTCTGCATAGCCGATCAATGGTTCCGCTTCACCGTTCCGTTTGAACTCTAAACATTAATTTGGTGCCCTTCAAATACTGCCAGTGAGATGAAAATGGATTTTGTTGGAATCGTCCCAGAAAGCCTAAGGGAAAGCATGACATACACTATGGATCACAACAGCTCACGATATGGTTCATCAGTAGTTTCACCATTACCGGACAGCAATATTCCTCTTTCCATAGGGGTTTTGACTAGATTGCACTCCATTTGAAACCGTGCCAGCGGCTTTTCAATGTTCGTTACCTGGGACAATCGCATACTGTTTCTCTCCCCGTTATAGTCCAGTTTCATTCTCAAGAAGTGACTCGCTTCTCCACAATCCGTCATGTCAAAAATGAACGATAATTGACGATATCTTTCTTCCAGCAATCAGCCAGTCGTTTACGTAGAGTACGAGGTAGATCTCATCTCCTGGTTGAATCCTCGTGTACAGGCAATAATCGTGCATTAAACGTTGGAAACCCAGCTCCAACAACTTTTGGTTGAACATCTCGTTTCAACAACGGGGGGACTGTTTCAGTCCGTACAGTGACTTGACCAATTTACACACGGTGTTTGACGGCGAAATAACACCATCCGGAACGGCCATAAAGATCTTCTCCTTCTATCCATGCAGGAACGCCGTTTTCACGTCCATTTGATGGAATTGAAAGCCCTGATGGATACCGGCTGCCAGTATGATCAGGATTGTGGTCAACTTTGGAACTGGAGCAAATATATCGTCATAGTCCACCCCTTGTTTTTGTTGTCACCACTAGTCGGACTTTGCATGGGGGGAGAGGTAGCTCACCGATTCTTCCGGTTCGCCTCCTAGCATCGTTTTTTTTTTTTTTTTTTTTTTTTTTTTTTTTTTTTTTTTTTTTTTTTGGCAAGGAGGAAACCTTCAAAAAGGCCATCGTGCCACCGCTTGACGACTGGGCGCACAGTCGCGGTGACACGGTGTGTGGGATTCTTACCGCACTAAAACCTCCTTAGACGCCTTGCCCTTTTCCCCCGGAACCACTTGTCGTATTACTTCGGAGGGGGCCGTGCATTACGCACCTCACTTTACCTCAGCTAATTGGCGCTTCCAGTTCGCTGATCGTCTCTCCAATTTGTGAGCCATTTATCTCCCAGCGTCACGTTCTACTCGGTTATCCCTGGTGGTGGATACAGCCTACTCTGACGGAGAGTTCTCCCGGCTTCGGCTTTCAGTTCGCACTTGTGTGAGCACATTACTACTTTCTAGTTGGTCTTCCCGCCATTTTCGCTGCAGCGCTGACATGATCTGCGTTACTGCTCTGCTGACGGCGTTAAAGGTGCCTTCCTCTCGACACATTTCTTCGACGACATTCTCCGTGCTAAGGGCGAGCATATCCTCTCGCACATCATCAAATCTAGGACATTCGAAGACCACGTGCTCTGGTGATTCTTCCACATTCCCACACTCCGGACAGAAGGGTGACGTTGTGTGTCCGAACCGATGCAGGTACTTCCTGAAGCAGCCATGACCAGACAGGAACTGCGTCAAGTGGAAGTTGACTTCTCCATGCTTCCTGTTCACCCAGGTCGAAAGAGTCGGTATTAGCCTGTGTGTCCATCTACCGTTCTCTGCTGCATCCCACTCCTGCTGCCACTTAGCCATCGACTCCGTTCTCACCATTTTTCGTACTCCTCTGGTTTCTCTCGTCATATAGCACTCGTAGTCCTCCGCCAAGGTGATGCCGATTGGGATCATACCGGCGATAACGCATACTGCCTCCATCGAAATGGTTCTGTACGCACTCACGATTCGCATGGCCATGAGCCGGAACGTACTGCTCAATTTCCTTTGGTTCTGCTTCGTTTTCAGCGCTTCAATCCAGGCTGGACCTCCGTACCTTAGTATTGATGAGGAAACACTAGCCAGAAGACGTCTCTTGCTGCTGCTTGGACCAGAATTGTTCGGCATGATTCTGGCTATTGCGTTGATGACCTTCGTCGCCTTCTCGCAAGCATATTCGATGTGGCTATTAAAGTTTAGCCGGTCGTCGATCATCACTCCCAGATACTTAAGCATGCGCTTCGAAGCAATGGTGTGCTCTCCAACGGTAATCTCTGCCCGCTGCACTGCTTTGCAGTTACTGACCAACATCACTTCTGTTTTGTGGTGGGCTATCTGCAGCTTCGCTCCTTGCATCCAGTTACCAATCGTATCTATCGCCTCAGCCGCCAACATTTCCACTTCTTCCAGCGTCTCACCGGTTACCGTCAAGACGACATCGTCCGCAAAGCCAACGATCTCAACTCCTTTGGGCAGCTTGAGCGTCAGCACGCCATTGTACATTCCGTTCCACAGCGTGGGACCTAGAATGGAGCCTTGGGGAACCCCCGCCGTGATTCTAAGCGATTTCTGCCCCGTGTCTGTCACGTAGACAAGGACCCGGTTCTGGAAATAACTACTTAGAATCCTGCAGAGGTAGCCTGGAACCCTCATTCTATGGAGCGCCTTGGCGATGGCCTCCCAGCTGGCGCTATTGAATGCATTCTTGACATCGATCGTAATCACGGCGCAGTATCGATTTCCTCTCCGCTTCTGTTTGGAAGCTTTCTCGGCTCTGTCAATCACTGTCCGAATTGCATCCACCGTCGATCTCCCTTTCCGGAATCCAAACTGTCTCTCCGACAATCCGTGTTCACTCTCCGTGCATTTCGTCAGCCTGTTGAGGATGATCCTCTCTAAGAGCTTTCCTACAGTATCCAGCAAGCATATTGGCCTATACGATGCAGGATCCCCCGGCGGTTTTCCGGGCTTCGGCAACAGCACAAGCTTTTGTACCTTCCACCTATCAGGGAACTGACCATCGTCCAGACATTTCTGCAGCACCATCCTGAACATGTCCGGGAACGTCTGGATCGCCGCCTTCAACGCCACGTTGGGAATTCCATCCGGGCCGGGAGCTTTATTCGCTTTCAACCCTTTCGCTGCTGCTATGAGTTCCTCGTTGGAGACTTGTTCAACGTTGTCTTCATCTACCTCGCCATATGGTGTAGGTGGCCAGTTCGTTGGGTCATGCTGTGGGAAAAGTCCCTCCACGATGACTTTCAGCTTGTTGTGACACATTTCAACCGGCATCGTTGGGCCTCTGATCTTCGCCATCGCAACTCGGTATGCGTTGCCCCAGGGGTTGGCATCGGCATCGCGGCACAACTCCTTGAAACTATTTGACTTGCTCAGCTTTATCTTTCGTTTCAGTGCAGCCCTGGCCTCTCGGAACACCACCCTGCGCTCCTCTCTGTCTGCTTCTGTTCTTGCTCTCTGAGCACGCCTTCTGGCTAGAAGACAAGTAGCACGGAGGGTGCTAATTTCCTCGTTCCACCAGTAGGCTGGACGCCGCCTGTTCGTTGGCTCCAGTTTTCTCGGCATAGTTGTGTCACATGCCCTTGCTAATAATTCGGTCAACTCATTCGCGCTTAGGCCCGGGACGCTGTTGTCTACCCTTAGAGCTTCGATGAAGAGATCCTTATTGAATGCCTTCGTCTTCCACTTCCGCTCGCTTACTTTCGTCCTCCGCTTTTCCACCGGTGTTCGTTCGCCGATACTGTACCGGATCGCCTGATGGTCACTATGGGTGTACTCCTCGCACACTGTCCAGTTCATATTTGCCATTAGCGACGTACTGCAGAAAGTAACGTCGATAATGGATTCCCTACCATCTTTGCGGAAGGTGCTGATGGTTCCTTCGTTGGCCAGACTGACGTTCAACTTTGCCAGAGCTTCCAGCAGGCTATACCCTCTTGCGTTGGTACATCTGCTCCCCCAATCCACTGCCCAAGCATTGAAGTCTCCTGCGATGACGACTGGTCTCCGTCCAATGAGCTCTTCGGTGAGCCCATCTAGCATCTGGTGGAACTGCTCAATTGTCCATCTCGGGGGTGCGTAGCAACTACATACAAAGATTCCATTGATTTTGGCGATCACGAAACCTTCATATGAGCTTGCCACCACTTGTTGTATGGGATACCTGCCCATGACTTGTATGGCCGCCATTCCTGCTCTATCCGCCACCCAGTTACCATTATCGAGAGGGACTCGGTATGGCTCTGCAATGATTGCAACGTCGCACTTTGTTTCCGTTGTTGACTGCCACAACAGTTGCTGTGCTGTGTTACAATGATTGAGATTTATTTGGGTTACCTTCATTATTGCTGGCCCACCATCGCCTTCTTGAACTCAGGGCACCTGAAACTTCCCGTCACATGGCCATTTCCGTCCTCCTTTTTGCAGAGCATGCACCTCGGTTGCTTTGTACAGTCTTTTGCAACGTGCCTCTTCTCTCCGCATTTCCTGCACAGATCAGATCTGTCAGGGCCTTTGCAGTGTCTCGCCTGGTGACCGAAGCCCATGCATTTGTAGCATCTCTCCATTTTCTTAGATACCCGAGGAATAGCTTTCAACG